AGCCCCAGTCCCTGTTCCTGAGCAACTACGAATCTGTTCTCCATCTCTACTGTCATTTAGAGAATGTTTATAAATGGAATCACACAATATGGAACCTTTTGAGGTTGCCATTTTTCACCAGGCCTAATGCCCTGGAGATCCATCTGGGTTGCAGTGTGGGTCACGAGTCCGTTCCTCTTTGTTGCTCAAATAGCAGTTTGTTCTGTGGATGAACCATGGTTTGCAGAACCTCTCACTCACTGCAGGAAGTTTATGTGGTTCCAGTTCTGTTTTTTTTCTGCTGTTACAAAGAAAGCTGCCTTAAGTATTCAGGCACAGCTTTTCTGTGTGGGTTAGTTTCCATTTCTCTGGGATCAATGCCCTGGAATACCCTTGCTGGGTTACATGGCAGGCATGTGCCTGGAGTTGCAAGCAACTGCCAACCTGTTTTCCAGAATAGCGGCACCATTTTCATTCCCAGCAGCCATGCATAAGTGAGTTCATTTCTCCACATCCTCACAAGCACTGGGTGTTATGACTATCTTTTATTTTAAATGTCCTGAGAGGAGTGTCATGGTACTCCATTGTGCTTTTTATTTGCACACCCCAATGGCTAATGCTGTTGGACATCTTTCCATGGGGCTATTTACCATCTGTGTCTCCCTTTCAGTGAAATGTTCCCTAAGTGGGTTGCTTGTTTTTTTACTGTTGAGATTTGTGAGCTCTTTTTAGATTCTAGATACAACTTCTTTGTCAGATATGAGGTCTGCAAATGATATCTTCCAACCCGTAGCTTGTCTTTTCATCCTGTTAACAGGGAATTTGAGAACACAGAATTTTACACTTTGATGAAACTCACTATCTTTTTTTTTCTTTTGGTTCATGTGTCTGGCGTCATGTCTCTGAACTCTTTGCCCGGACTTAGTTCCTGAAGATTGCCTTCTGTTTTTTCTTCTAAAAGTTCTACATTTCTTATTTTATGTTTATATTTGTAATCTATTTTTAATTAATGTTTTTACAGTACAAGTTTCAGGTCAAGGTTCCTTTTTTTTTTTTTTTTTTTTTTGCTTTTATGTTATATATGTAATAGCTCCAGCACCATTTGTGTTAAAAGACACATACTATAAAATTTACCACGTTAAGTATTTTCAAGTGTACAGTTCAGGGGCATTAATTACATTTACATTGTCGTGCAACCAGCACCACCATCCACCTCCAGAACTTTTTCATCTTTCCAAACGGAAACTTGGTACCCACTAAACAATGATCCCCAATTTCCCATCCCCCCATTCTTTGGTAAACACATCTCCACTTTCTGTTGCTGTGAATTTGACAAATCTGGGTGCTTCATGTGAATAGAATCATGTCGTATTGTTCCTTTTGTGACTGGTTTATTTCATTTAGCATCATGTCCTCAAGATTCACTCATGTTGTATAACGTGTCAGAATTTATTTGATTTTTAAGGCTGAATAGTAATTCCTTGTACATGTAGACCACATTTTGTTTATGCAAACAAAACAAAACAAAACAAAACTGAAAGCAAGCCCTTGAAGAAGTGTTTGCACACCCATGTTCATGGCAGTGTCATTCACAGTAGCCAAGAGGTGAAAGCCATCCCAATGTCTGCTATCACTTTCTGTTTTTGGAAAAACTATCTTCCTTCCACTAAATTGCTTTTGCTCTTTTGACAAAAATCCATTTGGTATATTTGTGTTGTTCTATTTCTGGGGTTCTGCTCTGTTCCCTTGGGCCATGTGTCTGTCCCTCCATCCATATCATAGTCTCGATTATGGCCACTGCAGAATAAGTCTTGAGGTCAAGCAAAGTGCGTTCTTCCATTTTTTTTTCGAAAAATTATTTGAATTGTTCCAGTTTTTCATCTTCCCTTGTAAACTTTCATATAAACTTGGCATTGTCTATGAAGCCTTGTGCTGGAATTTTTATGAGAATTGGGGGGATCAATCTGGGGAGAAATGGCATCTTTCCCACATTAAACCTTCCAGTCCTGAACACAACATGGATTTTTGAATTCATTTAGGTATTCTTTGACTTATAATAATGTGCTTTCTAAGATTATACACAGCTTTTTGTCTGTTTGTTTTTGTAAAGATAGGCTGAAATTCAGGAAATCCTCAGCAAGAGACAAAAAAAAAAAAAAAAGTTGAAATTTTGTCTAGTGACGTGTTGATGGCAGTTCACACAGACTCACGAGGGCCAACTGCGTGCATCTCCTCCCCGCTCTGAGTTCAGCGACGGCACCTTGGCAGGGGAAATTGGCAATAGTGGACAAATGGTGGACAAATGCCAAAGCCCACCATACAAATGGACAAATTCCATGAAGCAGACTCTTTTCCTTCCTTCCTGCCCTTCCCCTTCCCCTCCCCTCCCTTCCCCCTTTCCTTCCTTCCTTCCTTCCTTCCTTCCTTTCTTCCTTCCTTCCTTCCTTCCTTCCGTCTCTCACCCTTCTCTCTCCCTTCCCCTCTCTTTCTTTGAAGGGGATTGTTAAACACCCACCTGCATACCCCTGACTATATCTAATTCATGGCTCTCCTATGAAGCCGAAGAGTGAGCCCATGGTGAGAGGCAGAATGAAGAGAGGTTGATTCATGGGCATAAATATATGCAGCTAAGGAAGGGCTAACACCTAGTGTCCCCAGATCAGCAGGGTGACTATAGTTTACAATCATCTATTGTACACTTCAAACTTGTTAGAAGATAATCATTTAAATGCTTCTAACATAAATAAAAGACAAATATTTAAGCTGTTGGATATTAATTACACTGATTTCATCTTTTCATATCATATGAATGTATATGCCCTGCAAATATGTGCATCTATTATGTATCAATATAAAAAATTAGCAAAGGATAAATAAGAACGATCCCTTATGTCTGTGCCCTGGTTGTTTCTAGAGCTGGTGTTCCCGTTGTCAACACCCATCTTCCTGGTCATCACATTTGCTTTCTTATCTAGCACTGAATGATGTATCTACCCATTTGTCAGAATAGAAACGTGGCTTGGAGTGCAAAAGAGGGGAAAAAAAAATGTCCCAAACCCACCAACCAACCAAAAATAAGGGATGTGTAAGAGGCTGAATTTAGGCATATCCCTTTGGTGGAAAATCATGTGAGATTCACATGATGGATTAATTTAAATCAAGCAGTCTGCCTAAGCATTTAGCCAGTATTAAGTCAAGATTTCTTGTATTTGTCTTATATTTGCATTGCAAGTGGCAATTGGTTAAAAAATAAAAAATAAAACAACGATTACAATTCGAAAAAGGACAAATCGGTTTCTAGTAAAGCTGTAGCCATGATTACCCATCCTCTCCCTCTTCAAATACAACCTTAACCATAGCCCTACAGCTGGCCAGATGTGATCCTGTTGGCTAAAACGAGATCTTTGTGTATTAACCTATGTTGAGCTGTGTGGTAATTTAGGCTGTACATTTTTATTCCAGTAGGGAGTGTGGCAATGGAGAAAGTCTCACTGGAAAGATTCCCTTGTTCAGGGAGAGAAGTTGAGCCCCTCTCCTGGCTCCCTGGGCTGGAGCATGTGGGGCCAACAAGACTCACTAGGCCGGGAGCCCCATAATTTGGGATCAGTCCACCTGCATTTGAACCCAGGCTCTGATGCTCGCCCGGTCTTTGACCTCAATAAGTCTCTCTATTCTGTTTTATTAAGCTACTTTTTAGTAGTATGACAATGAGGCTATTATTCCAAAGTATGTTGACAGCTTTTAAAACATTGGAAAAGATCGATAGAATACACTGAACCCTTCCTTCAAGCACTCAGAGATAGCAACTCTCCATGTTTGAGTGTGAAATCCTCCAGTCTTCTCTTTCCATGCCAGGATATAATTATTTAACGGCCTTGTTTTCTCCTTTATTACCGTTTTCCCCAGAAATATGAGCTTATATTTTTCAGTTAACTTCCTGTTGTGAATATTTTTATTTGTCATAAAATCATGTTTCTGTGAATCCTGGGAGATTCGGTAATAGTTGCAAATACGTGAAGTGATGGGCAAAAAACAATGAACGCCTGCTATCCACATTTCTGAGAATAAAATAACAAGAGCTGAGTTAAAACGTCGTAGAAAAGGTGATCACAAGATTTTGGTAAAGAATTCACTGAGGAGGCTGGGATTATGTTTAACACACAACAAATATCTGGATTAAAATCCTTAAAAGCGAGAGTATACTAAACAGCTTCTGAGAAACTAGGAGGGTACGGCATCTTTGGAAGTGTTTGTTAGGATAGATAATTGATTATGACAGAAACCAGTCTGTCTTGGAGATTCCAGAACAATTCTGCCTGGAACGGGAGAGAGAACTAGGTCACCTTTCAAGGCCTCCACCAAATCTGTGATTCAGTGATTTGTCTGAATAATTGATGATGTGAACTGTAGTTACTCCCCGCTCCAGGGCAGACAGTATGCATGAAGGCAGTTGTAAAGAAAACTGTGCCGCAGACGCCCCAGTGAGTCATTTAGATGCTGGGCCGTCTCTGCTTGCTCTGCTGTGAGGTCAGCTGCATGTGCTTAAGCAACTTTGCTTCAGGTCACATCCTACGGGACACCCACGTCAGACTACTGCCTACTAATCATAGAGCCCTTCTTGTTCCTTTTTTCTCTTTTTCTTAAGCAACAATGGGCCATTTAACAGGACATTTATTTCAGCCCTAAGTTGTATTATCCTTGGTAATTTGTATATACCAGTATTAAAATGTTGCAGACTTCTGTAACTATTGTCTTAATCTAGTGAAAAATAAGATATCTATATATCTGGAGAGAAGTCTGTTCTCCGGAGGCAGCCGAGCACTTGCGTGCACTCGATGAACAGGAATAGGGCTGCATGAGGGCTGACCTGGATTTGACAACGGCACCAGGATGAGGCTCGTGTGCTGCCCTGAACAGTGGCCCTTGTGCTAAATACGAAACCTCTCTCTCCCACAGGCACAGCCCGTCACCTGCGTCTGGTTTTTGCTCCTCATTTTCTTCAATTTTCACTCTATTTATAGTTGAGAACCTTCCATTTCCCCCTGGTTGAAATGCATTAGTTGCCATGGAAACTGCGATCCCCCCGGTGTGGATGGAGCCGAATGACACCTACAATTGCAGAGCACGGTTGGCGTCGCCAGGGCTGGGAAATGGGCATCGTGGCTGGAGAGTGCACTGAAGGGCACAGATGAGAATAATGACAGCACACAGCACAACCGTCAGGGGCGGATGCAGCACCCCTGGGTCAGAAGTCGTGGAAGAAACCATGGGTAACCAAAGCCCCCATGCCCCACACCACACGGAGGGGCGCGTCCCATCATAGGCCTAACCCCTGCAGGGTTCTTATTTTCAGAAAATCAAAACTGGAGCTATAGCTGCTACTTGCAAAAAAAAAAAAAAAAAAAAAAAGATGCATTTTCATTTTGATAAATACTAAAATCATTCTATTTTCGAATGAATTTTTCTTGCACTTCTGTATGGGGGATGATATCCCTCTTCCCACGTACTTGAGTTCTCCCTGACATAAGAGAGTTTAGCACGCAGCCCTGAACTTCCCCCTCTTGCCTGCTCTTTCTTGGGAAACCCGGCCAGATGGGAGAACAAACGGTCCGTGTGAGAGTGCCACCGAATTCAGTGGGGAGGCAGCAGGTCTCGCTCTCCAACGCGGCACGGCAGGCCTGTCCCCACCCTTCAGTGTCAGCTCTCTGGTTTTCCCCAGGTTAGGTCCTTTCTGGGGTCGGCGTCGACCTTCTTTTTGCGTCCTAACCCAGCTCCTCCATCCCGTGGTGTTGGTTTCTGGTCTGTTTTCTCGTTCACAGGTGGGTCCCGGGAATCTTAACACAGCTGGGCAGCAAAACATGGACAAACCCTGTCCAGCCGACTCGCGCCTGGAAGCTGCAGCTACGCCAAGGGAAGCCCTTCTTTTCTTTTATTTCATTTCATTTTTTATTTTTTCTATTTTTTATTATTGAGACAGAGTCTGGCTCTGTTGCCCAGGCTGGAGTGCAGTGGAGCGGTCTCGGCTCACTGCAACCTCCGCCTCCCAGGTTCAGGCCATTCCCCTGCCTCGGCCTCCGGAGTAGCCAGGACTACAAGCACCTGCCACCACGCCCTGCTACGGGAAGCCCTTCTTATATTACCTGAATCCCCATACATTCCTTCTCCCTGGAGACGTCAGTTCCGCGTTCCAGCGTAGATAATTGCTCATGCACCATTTGTTCCTGTAAATTTAGCACAATCAACTCCCTCACTCACTGGTTTTCTGTTTTCCTGTGTTGTAGACTATTTTTAGTCCTATTTCATCTACACCTTGTTCCTCAGAATTCAGCACCTTGTCATGAACCCTCCTACCCTTGACTCCTCCCCTGTCCTGTCTCAGATCTTGAGTCTACAATCTTCCTACAGGAAGGAAGGCAAAGATGTGTGTTTTAAAATTCTTAATATGACTCTACGTCCAAAAGAGACATTCGTTTCTGTTGATTAATTGGAGAGAGTTTCTCCTGGAATATCGGAAGCGCAGCACCACCAGCTGTGCTGCTTGAGGTGGCAGCAGAGGAGGCGGTGGGGAGACACGAACTTTACTAGCACTGTCTCGGTGCAGAGGAGCATACAGTACGCTCTACACACAATAACCCATTTAATGTTTGCAGCCAGGCTCTAAGAGAGGGGGCTATTTTTGTTCCTATTCATAAATGGGGAAAAAGTCCTGAGAGTTTGCCAGGATCCAAGAGGAAGTTCCCCCTCTGAGCTCTAAAGCTTCACTGAAAATGAACTAACAATAGGCAGATTAACAGGAGGAAGAGCGTACACATTTACTTAATGTGCGTAAGCACAGAGGAATCCCAGGAGAATGATTACCAGTAACCCAGCCAGGCCCACACACTTCTGTACTCTTGGGATATAGTATAGGGGAAGAGAAGATGGGGAAACCATGATAATTTTTGAGGGGTAGTAAGTAGTTTTCAGAAGGAATGGCTGGACCCAGTGCTCAGACACTGAACGATTCTCTTTGGAGGCTGAATGGGACCAGACGATGAACACTGGTTTGGAAGAAAGTTGAGCTGAGCTCCAGGTGTGGTGTTTAAGTTTCAGTCTCTTCCTCTGTCACAAGAGAGATAATCTTCTCTGGTTAATTAAATTTCTGGGAAAGGACTGAAGGCAATTGTGTTCCCCTTTGGGGGTCTGGTATCTAGGTAGGTAAGGAAGCTTCAGAGAACGGCCACTTCCTGTGCATAAGGAGAGACTGAGGCCTGAGAGGCAGGAGCTGGCGGGAGGGCAGAGAGACCCAAGTCAAAGCACCGGGTTTGGGCTTTGTTCTCCTTCTCTGAGCACCGGGTTTGGGATTTGTTCTCTGAGTCCCAGCCATTGTTTAACTCCTGCAAGGTGGGCAGCCGGGACCATCTGTCTGACTTCCACACTCGTCTCTCCGCGCCTGCCTGGTGTTCAGCCTCTTCCTGGAAGCTGCAGTCAGGTGGCTTCATCCACTTCTCCATAAACACAAGAGGCTCCGGCTCCACACCTTTCCAGCGTCTCCCTCCTTCCCTGACAGGTCTTAGTCTGTTTTAATTTTGGCCTCTGTTTATTTCCTGAAATCTGGAAGTTAATTCCTAAGTTGACAGTGAGAAAACTCTGGCAAAAAGCAGCCTTAGGCAGCGTTATTTCATTCTTGGCCATGGTTTCCCCTCTTTTTTCTTTTCCTTTTTTTTTTTTTTTTTTGAGATGGAGTTTATCTCTGTTGCTCAGATTGGAGTGTGGTGGCACGATCTCAGCTCACTACAACCTCTGCCTCCTGGGTTCAAGTGATTCTAGTGCCTCAGCTTCCTGAGTAGGTGGCATTACAGGTGTGAGCTACCATATCTGGCTAATTTTTGTAATTTTAGAAGAGACGGGATTTCACCATGTTGGTCAGGCTGGTCTCGAACTCCTGACCTCAAGTGATCCACCCACCTCGGCCTCCCAAAATGCTGGGATTACAGGTGTGGGCCACCGTGTCCAGCCTCCCCCCTCTCTTCTAACTTCTTGCTTTACAGAGCTCTTGTCAAGGTAACAGGGTGCTTGGCCGTCCTGAATGAGATGTTCAGCCATGTGGTTGTCTTTTTAGGTAGTGCCTGTCATTGGAGCAACTACATTATTAGCGGACAGTCCTAGAGATAAAAATAAAAAATACAAACCCTTACTTAGGTCAGTAGGGAGAAGGCACATGGCATGTCTGTCAGTCTGTATGAGAAGGGCCTGCAGAGCAGACCTGAGATTCTGTCGCTGAAGTGGGTGTGTACCGTGTCTTGGTACAAACGCTGACTCCGGTGGAGATGCAATATGTGGCAATGTGGTTAAGAACAAGATTTATTATACAGATTAATTATGTAAGGAAGAGAGTAGACCTACATTGCTCTCTGGGTAAAGGATAGACTTAGGCACTGATGAGAAACGGTCTCTGTTTACCGAAGTTCCTTCTTTGCACACAGAGCCGTGTAGTGAAAATGCCTGTCCTACGCAAATAATGTGTTATAGCAAAATGAGCCAGTTAACTCGTCAGCTGAAATCAACCTAATTTAGGTTAAAAATTCTTCCTTTGTGTTTTTTTTTTCTTTTTCACCCTCCCCCTCTTCAATTCTTCCTTTTCTAAAAGGATCTTGTTACTTGATAAAAATCAAATTGGCCCCACATTAATTTATTTGGTCATTGGAACATGGAGACTTTTGCCAACATAACTATAGAACCTCTGTTTTTGTTTGATTTTATGACAGGGATGGGGTCTCACTGCGATTACAGGTGTGAGTCGCCATGCCCAACCAAAATCTCTTCATAGATGCGAAGTTTGGGAAGATGTGCCAGGTCCCAGATTCACCTCCAGTGTGACTCCAGGGTTGGGAGTAGGCCCCCTGAGAGCCCCAGTCACTGGACTTCACAGGCAGCTAAAATGAAGGAAGAGGCTGGAAAGTCAGGGCCACTGATTTGCTTCAGGAAAAAAAAAATCAGAATTCTTAAGCTTACCACCACTTTTTGATAAGAAAAGACATGCGAATGAATAATTAAAAGGAACGCTTATCAGGGATCTGGCCAGCTTAGAAAATTGAAAGAATTATGCAGGTAACAAAGCTGCGTGTATTTTAACAAGGGCAGTGGAAACACAAGAACAGACGCATGCTAAGTTGGAAGAAGAAGGAAGATTCTAGAATCGTGCAAGACAGGCCTGCACTGCTGGGGACCCAGATTTGAAGAGGGTGGCCCCAGGGGCCACACAGTCTTTGCAGATGCCTGGACCGGGGTCGACTCTGCGTCTTCCCTGGTGGGGGCGTGGTGCCACAGTCTTCAATTTGCTCGTTGATAAAACATTTTCTAAGGTTAGTTCCTATATTACTTTAAAAAGTGACAGGACAGGGAATTGAGGCTAAGACGGTTGCTTCTCAATCAGCTTTTCTGGACAGCACAGCTGATAAAACATAGGATATGGACCTAAGATGAACTGGGTCTAGGTCCCCTGAACTATCGCTGAGGGGCTATCAGCTGTTCACGGAGGGAGTCAGTGACCCCCTTGCCTGGCTTTTGTGTCTCACAGATGTCTGTGTGTGTGCTGGGGGTTGTCTCAATAATGTCCATTTCACCGGCCTCAATGTAGAGATTAAACCCGCTTACAGGGAAGACCTAGCAGAATCATTGTTGACTGTAAGTATTCAGTAAACCGGAGCTGTTTTCATTACCACTCTAATTTCCACAGCTCAGGAACATAAAGGAATAACATGGAATTTACGGACAAAGGTGTGGAGCCAGTGTAGAAAAATCACTGGGCCATCAAAGACACCCCAAATAATCATTTATTTCTGAGGACACTGGAGGTAAAATACTCCAGAGCCTCTCAAACTTTTCCACCGCAGAGCCATAGGCAGCGTGGAGCAGAGCCAGCTTCAGGCAGGGACCTGGCCTTGGCACACAGTCCTGGGCTTGGAGTAATGCTCTGCCTCCCGTGTCTCGAGATTCTTAATGCCTTTTGAACAAGGAGCTCCTGTCTCCTCTTTGCTTTGGGCCCTCTGGATCATGTGGGCTGTACTTGAAGGGCAGAAGATTGTGTTGACTCGGGATGAGACTGTGGCTTCTGGGACTCCCTGGCCCCTGGAATCTGGTTTTGAGAAGCATGGGCTTTAGCTTAGGGCGGCAGAGTTAGCAAATGAAAATACAAACATTGCACAGGACATACTTCTACTGAAGTCACCATCCACCCTTTATCTGAAATTCAAATTCAGCTAGGCATCATGCCTTTTCAGATAAAGAAACGCAGGCACTCAGGTGACCGACTTGGTCAAAGTGACTGGTAAGAAAAGGCACCACATTTGAATCTGGTTGTCCGGCCGAGACACCAGCTTTTTCATCTCAGTGACTGATAAGAGACTTTGCAAAGATGTCGGAGTTGGATAAAAGCTGACCCGGAAGCAGTAGCAGCCCCAGCCAGCTCATAAGTCCTGCAGGCCTCTGCCAGGGCCGACTTAATGATCCCTTATGAGCTGAAGAGACAGGTGACATCTTTCGTTTATAATTATTCCAGTTGGCTTTGTGAAGATGTCCTTGTGTTTTAGAAGAAAACACATCCAAGTACAGGGAGAGTCATTCTCAGAATGATTTACTCAAGCAGAGCTTAGGTGGGGATTACTGAATGTAGCAGAAAGTGGAAGTAAATTCCTTTCCAAATACCTCAGGATCAGGAAAATTCAAACAAAGCATTTGGTTTGCCTTTTTGCTTCTGAGGCTGAAAACTGTGTATGTTTAAAATGAAAGGTAACCCACAAATTCCAGAGTCATTTGAACTTAACTCATCAGTGCGTTAGTTTGTCAGTGGATGTCCAAGTAAATATTTAGAGCAGGGATGTTCAATCTTTTGGCTTCCCTGGGCCACACTGGAAGCAGAAGAATTGTCTTGGGCCACACGTAAAATATGCTAACATTAACAATAGTTGATATGCTAAAAAAATTGCAAAGAATCTTATAATGTTTCAAGAAAGTGTACCAATGTTTGCTGGGTGTCATTCAAAACCATCCTGGCTTACATGCAGCCTACAGGCTGTGGGTTGGACAAGCTTGGTTTAGAGTTTTTTGGCTAAAAAAATACACACACATTTAAAAAAAAATGATTTTATGGTACCATTTAAAAAAAAATTTCTTAGAGAACTACATACACATCTTTCCTTTGCATCTTTCTGCTGAAGAGTTCGGGTGTGAGCCCATGACAGTGCTGCTTTGAGGCCCCGGGTCTTCCATGGTGGCCTTGCAGACAGGACACCTGCCCACGTCTCCTGCTGTACAGGAGGCCACGGCATTCTCTAATCCTCCGCCTGTGGCTGGGCTTCCTAAATGTGGCTGTGGCTTTTCTTTCCTTTTGTGTCTTTGCTCATTCCACTTTTCTGAGATACTTTCCAAGTTCAACCAAACTCAGGGCTTAACTATCCAACATATGCAAAAATCCACCTCCTAACTGAAGTTGAGTTGAAATGTGAGCACTTGAGTTGAAATGTGAGAAACCAGCTGAGTAGCATGTTTCTAACAATGACTGTTATAATTCACTTGATATTTGAATATTTTTTCTGTAACTTTTTTTTGGCGGGAGGGGCAAGGGGGAGGACAGAGTCTCTGTCGCCCAGGGTGGAGCCCAGGCTGGAGTGCAATGGCATGATCTAGGCTCACTGCAACCTCCACCTCCTGGGTTCAAGCGATTCTCCTTCCTCAGCCTCCCGAGTAGCTGGGATTACAGGTGCCTGCCACTATACCCAGCTAATTTTTGTATTTTTAGTAGAGACAGGGTCTTGTCCTATTGGCCAGGCTGGTCTCGAACTCCTGACCTCGGGTGATCCACCTGCCTCCGCCTCTCAAAGTGCTGGGATTACAGGCATCAACCGCCTCATCTGACCTTTTTCCGTACACTTTTAAAGATGATCAAAACATTTAAAATAATTGTGTCCATTGGCCAGATACAACAATGGGTTTTAATAATGTTTTAGAGAGTTGAATGGGACAAATTTGTACTGAGTGTTTAAATATCTGTAAAAAAGTGTAAATATTTAGAAATATTGATGTTTAATATTGAAAGGATATTAATTGTTTAGCAGATTATAAGATGAATGAATTGAGCATTAAAAAAAGGTATCACCAATAGTGCTGGTCTCTCGGCTGTATCCGATAATCTCAGTTAACAAATGAGGCAAATGCATAGAAAATTGTTGTGGATTTGTCAGAACCACGGAAAGCGGCAGGTAGCTGAGTCTGAATCGGACCCAGCCACAGATGCAAGTGTTGCTATGACAGGTTTCGGAAACCATTTACTGTGGAAAGTCGCTGTGTCAGGGAGATTGACAAATGTTCTATAAGATAGAGTGTAGGGGTCAAGTTCGTTTGGAAAAGTGCTGACGGTTGCATCATCTCTTAGGGACACACGAGGCAATCTGGCATATTAAAGACTGTGAGAACTCCTGTCTGAGCACCGGCCAATAGAAACACAAGGCAAATCACAAGTACCACGAAAATCTCCTCATAACGACACTGGTGAAAGTAAAAAGGGAAGAGATAAAATCAATTTTAATGGGGTATTTAACGCAGTGCATTCAAAATGTCATCACTTTACTATGTAACCAGTAGGAACATGTCCATGAGGCATTTTCAACTCCTTTTTTCATGTCAAGACTAAGAAATCCGGTGTCCGTTTTTGCATTTGATGAGCATGTGTTTTTAAAAACATTTGTTTTTGTAGAGATGGGCTCTCACTCTGTTGCTCAGGCTGGCCTTGGCCACCCAAAGAGCTGGGATTACAGGCATAAGCCACTGCCCCGGCCTTATGAGCTTCTTAATTCAGACCAGCATGATTCACAAGACACCCTGGCTCCGTGGCCACGTGTCACCAGGGCTACATGTGGGGCGGGACAAGTTTTCTTGAAGAGTTCTGTTCAACAGCATTAACCTCCACCATGTCACAGATGCATCTGACTTTGGAAAGATCCCCCATTCCCAGCACAAACATATACATACATATCGAAACTACTGGGAGATAGATACTACTTCTCATGTATTAGGCTATAGAACTAGGTTGGCTACTATTAAAAAAAAAAAAACAAAACCAAAACAACAGGTGGTGGTGAGGATTCAGAGAAATTGGAATCATGTTGAGAAATAGGTGTGTTATTGGTGGGAATGTAAAATGGTGCAGCCATCACAGGCGCCCGCCACCATGCCCAGTCAATTTTTGTATTTTTAGTAGAGATGGGGTTTCACCATGTTGGCCAGGCTGGTCTCAAACCCCTAACCTTGTGATCTGCCCACCTCAGCCTCCCAAAGTGCTGGGATTACAGGCGTGAGCCACCACGCCCGGCCAGCACAAATGCATTTTTGATTTGGAACATCACCTCACCAGACCTGACGACACACGGAGTCCATTTTTGGGAAGGTCGCTGTGTGTCAGGGACACGTGTGAAGTGGACGCTGATCTTCCAGTCTGCCTGGTGCCTTCCCGTGTAGCCCTTTCGCTCTTTAAACATCAGGTACTTTGCTAAGAAACGGTGCCATACAGCTGCCTCCAGGCATCCCAGGGGTCTGGGAACGAGCTCGCTGCTCACCGCAGTGACCGGCTGTGTGATCATGGCCTACAACAAGATGAATGTCTCCCTGTTCTCACGCTATTTAATATTTTATTTATCTTTCTCTGATAGGAATGACTGAGCCCATAAGAGGATGTGCTCACCATGAAGCGAGGAAGCCACATGCGAAGCACATTGAGCTGCTGCTTCTGCAGCTGGGAGGCCTGGCGCAGGGTCTTGCCATAGCCAAGGGCTCCGGGCGGAGGACGTGGAGAGACGTGCACGCTCAGCTCCCTGTGCAGTTCGTGGTTCACGAGACACCCAAAACGCAACGGTCTCCTGTCTAAATGGAATTAACTCAGTCTCACTCACAAACATCAGGGAGGGACTCACCGCACAAGCAAATCCAGACTATCTGAGAACTGGCGACTATCTGAGACTATCTGAGACTCACAAGCAAATCACAAGCAGATAGTCTGGATTTGCTCACAAGCAAATCCAGACTATCTGAGACTATCTGAGAGTGTCGGAAGAAAGCTGCATGTGATGGGCCTCTCTGGAAATTATCTGAGGTTTCCTTTAAAACACAGTCCTTGAGGTCGACTGAAGGCAAGGAGGCTGCGCAACCAGCAGATGTGAGGAATGAAGCCGCCGAGGAAACTGATCTCAGACCTGAGGCAGTTTCTAAGATGGTGTGGGGAGGCGGGGAGGGGAATGCTGAATAATAAGATTACTCAGAGCTGCTAACGATCCTGATTCAGTAATTTTCTGCTTAAAAAGGCACTTCGACCTTTTCCAAACCCAGATGTATGCATCTTAATGGAAGGTCGTTCCCATGCACAGCGAATGCAGCCTAGATTTATAAGAGAAACTCTGATAGATTCCTCAGCCAAGTGAGAGGGATGACACTGCTCCTATTTATTAGGTAAATGATCTATTTTATATGTACATGCACATAATGCATAAATTACGCAAAACAGTCTCAGCATGGTTAATGAACATGCCTGAAGGCTAATAAAAAAAGTGCTTATCTAGTTCTTTTATTTTTTTCTCCTTTATGCATAACAGCATTTTACTTAATAGCATAAATCAAACTGAAAGACCATCTGTATTAAAACTTAAATAACTTTTCGGGCTGTCTATAGGCATAAAATGAAGTGCCTAAGGTAGAAACAGCGTTCACATTGCCCTGAGATGAAAGGCTTACCTGCAATCTGTATTTCTTTTTCAGGATTCCTTCTTACTTAAGTTGAGTCTAAATATTAAAGAATATTGCAATTATTTAGGGGTTTTGCTTTTTCTTCATGGTCAGTGTCCGTGGGGCTTATCAACGTTGTGAACACACATTCACACTGAGAGGTGATGTGAGCGTTAGACACCCAGGGTTGAACTACAGTTGGGCCAGTAACCAGTGGTGCTATCTAGCCGAAGTCCGTGAGTGTGTCTCGGTGTCATCTCTAAAATGGGAACACCAGCATGGCCACTCTCCACTTGGCAAGAATCCAGTGAGACAGATGCAAACCACCAGCACCAGGCTGACAACTGGTCAACCATGCAAATGCATGCCAGCTGCAAACCATGGTGAGCAGCAATGAAGACCCTGAATTGTATGAGCAAGAAGTTCGAGTGCCTGTAGGCTGACTACCATAATGGCCTCATGGAAAATATTACTTATAACAAATATTCAGCGAGCACATGAAGATATGTTCAACGTCACTAATCATTAGAAACATACATATCGAAACTACTGGGAGATAGATACTACTTCTCATGTATTAGGCTATAGAACTAGGTTGGCTACTATTAAAAAAAAAAAAAAAAAACACCAAAACAACAGGTGGTGGTGAGGATTCAGAGAAATTGGAATCATGTTGAGAAATAGGTGTGTTATTGGTGGGAATGTAAAATGGTGCAGCCTCCATGTCAAAGGGCAGTTAAAAAACTAAATGTAGAATTACTGGATGATCCAGTCGTCTCACTTCTGGGTATGCACCCAACAGCACAGAAAGCAGGGTCAGGAGCAGACTTTTGCGCACCTATGTTCATAGTAGCATTATTCACAACAGCCAAAAGCTAGAACCAACTCAAGATCCCGTGGTTGCCAGGGACTGTGGTGGTAAAAATGGGGAGTTAGTGTTTAATGGGGACAGAGTTCTAATTTGGGATGATACAAAATTCTGGAGCCAGATGGTGCTCGTGTTTGCACAACAGTGTGAATATGCTTAATGCCACTTAACTGTACATCTAATGGTGGTTAAGCTTGTACCTTTTATGTTGTGTATATTTTGCCACAATTTAACAACGACATAGAGTATAACGAAGTTTTTTCGTGTTTCAAAATACTGAGCAGTGGGAAGCTTCTTTTGAGTTTTCTCAGTGGCAGCCTCCCTCTTCATTCACACGTTAATGCATTCATTCATAAAGACTGTCCTGAGCTCCCGTCAGGCGGCAGATACTACAGTAGACGTGAGGTCCAGAAATAAACATAGTGCAGGAGCTGATCTCCCCAATCTAGAGTCTAGAAATGAAAATAATCCCAGGAATAGATTAGTGCAGGATCACACGGCCAGTGCCGTTCACAGAGGGAGCGTTTGTAAGATACTGAAAAGGTAAAAATAGAGAAACAAAGGGATGAGAATAGAAAAAGTGACAGAAGAAAGAGAAAAACATTTTATGTAAAATCAATAGGTGACCATAGACATCCCATTATTTTCCTGTTACAAAAAATAACTGGATTTATGTTATCGCTTCTGCCATTTGATTTACATTTTCTAATAACAAAGGTTCCCTAGATTGCTAAGGATACTAAAGGTGGTGTAACCTACTCCTTACAGTGTTTTGCACATGGGGAAACTGAGGCCCATAAAGTCGAAAGGCAGAGTAAATGTTCACACGATTAAATTAGTGACAGACATGTGTCTAGAATCCAGGTTTTCAGAAACTGACAATTTCCTTATATTATAGGGCTTTTTCCAAGCTGGCCAGACACCTGTTCCCAGTGACCCAGTACTTATTGATATGTGATCTCATATTTACGGAGCGCTATCAATGAGCTTTTCAAATTATAGTTATGTCATTAAGACCTGCTTTTTATTAGGGGGTTTGGTACATTTTCTTATTTCTGTAAGGGCAAAGGACTTCATGCTGGTTAGAAAAGACAGGCAATGTCTGGGCTCCTGACATAAAGTTCAGACTCACTTACTGGAATGTAAATCTGCCCATTCGTTCATTACGCATCCATTTAACAAGCAGTCAACACATACGCTGTTGACTATTAAATGCAGCTGGGATGTAGGAATGAAAGGGATGGGCGTAATTTTGCCCTTAAGAACCTCACAATCTGGTGAAAGTAAATTCTACCTTTCTAACTGGCTACTTGAACATAGGAATTGGAAGAGGAAGCAAGCCAGCTGCTGTCAGGAAATCAGAACAGATGTGCCCGGAGAGAGTTAATCCATTTATAAAAACCAAAATCACACACACACACAATCCCAAACCCCAAATACTGCTCGTAAGGGCTGCCATGGCACCCAGGAACAGAAACAGGATTTGGAAAGGGTTTTTAAAGGATTCATTAAGAAAAAAATATATTTAAAAGAAATTTTGTTCAATATTACTAATTTTACTTCATTTTATAACACTTATGGGGAGCGCTTGAAAACTGTTGGCTTTAGGACAAATGCAGTTGCTCCTGTCCTGTCATCTCAGCAGGTTGGGAGGCCAAAGTAGGAGGATTGCTTGAAGTCAGGAGTTCAAGACTAGCCTAGACAATACAGCAAGACCTCGTCTCTACAAAAAAATAAAAATAAAAAATTAGCCAGGCGTGGTGGTGCACACCTGTCATCCCAGCTACTCAGGAGGCAGAGGCAGGAACATTTCTTAAGCCCGGGAGTTTCAGGCTGCAGTGACCTGATCACACCACTGCACTCCAGCGTGGGTGATGGAGTGAGACTCTGTCCCTAAACATATAAAAATGGATTGCTTTATTTAGTCTTTAACTTTTTATATAAAAACTAATATTTTATTTTAATATTTGAAGAAGTAATAAGGTAGAATGTATTGTATTGACACAATGGCAATTTCCAGGCCTTAAGTAATTTTGGTTAATAAGTGATTTCTGGGTCTTGCTGATCCTCAACACCCCCGGGAGGAGCTTTCTGTTTTGTTTTGTGTTTTTCATAGACGGATCCTGCTCCTCACACTCCAGATCCTCTGAAGAAGAACCGTGGGGCTGGAGCACACCATGGTCACAGAGGAGCCGGAAACAGAAACCAAAGAGGAAAAAATAAAATGAAAGAGAAGGAAACTCCGTAAGGGAGTCCACTGAAAATCGTTTCAGAAGCTATTGGTTTGGATCACAAGGCCATCAGCACATGTGGCTGTTCCCTGGTTGCTAGCCACGGACGGTGTGGGAGGAGAGACCAATGCCAGTGCACAGACTCCGGGAGGCAGAGGACCCCGGAAGGCAGAGGACCCGGGAGACAGAGGACCCCGGGAGGCAGAGGACCCGGGAGGCAGAGGACCCGGGAGACAGAGGACCCCGGGAGGCAGAGGACCCAGGAGACAGAGGACCCGGAGACAGAGGACACGGGAGGCAGAGGACCCGGGAGACAGAGGACCCGGGAGGCAGAGGACCCGGGAGACAGAGGACACGGGAGACAGAGGACACGGGAGGCAGAGGACACGGGAGACAGAGGACCCGGAGGCAGAGGACACGGGAGACAGAGGACCCGGAGACAGAGGACACGGGAGACAGAGGACCCGGAGACAGAGGACACGGGAGACAGAGGACACGGAGACAGAGGACCCGGAGACAGAGGACCCGGGAGGCAGAGGACACGGGAGGCAGAGGACCCTGGCTGTAGGCAGGAAACTTTCATGCTGGCATTTTGACTCACGTTTTAATAAATTGCAACTTTCTTCCATTTACGTTGGTGTAAGGGTAATGCCAGTAGTGGGGAGAGACCAGCATAAATTATACAAAGCTAGGATTTCTCGGGATTTTAAAAAGAGCTAGATTGAAAGAAAATAGCTATTTTGGGCAACTTTTCCCCCCAAATCCAATCTTCACATATAAGGAACATCATCATTTTACCATGTTATATTTTTAAACTTTTAACATCGGCTATTTTGTTATTCTTGTTGGAAGTCTTAAGAAAATAAAGTCAAGCGTAAATAAAGCAACAGATATGGACAGAGATCCTCTTCTTGACCAAACCCAAGGAGTTCTCTGCACTTTCTCCTGGACTAGGCCCTGACCTTGGGCTCTGTCCTTGACCGGCTTGGTCCAGTTTTAGCAAGAATCCTGCTGGGTCCGTTTAGCAAAAATTCTTGACTCTTGATAGCTGATCAGATTTCTCATCACTCGTCCTGGATATCTTACCACTCTGGGCTGCCTGCAGCATGAATCCTGCTGAGAGGGTCTAGCCAAAATCCCCCTCCCCATGAGGCACCATCCACTGACCCCACCCTGCTCAGTGGCTGTAAATCGCCACCTGTCCTTGTTTTACCTGTTGTTGATCCCCAGCTCTCTCTCCCTACTGCGAAACCCCATTGGGAAGTCCTTTCACAAAATGCCTTCCTTCCTGTCTTTAACAAGGGTCAGAGTAATTTTTTCTTTGACATTACTCAAGTACCATTTCACACCCAGTCAAGAATCAAAAGAATTCCTAATACCTTACCTAGCAACTTTTAACTTTCTATAGGTTCTCTTTCCTGTTGAAAGCCTGAAAGATTAAACATTCGTCCGTGCCATTATGTGGATGGGAGCTGCAGGGAAGTAGAAAGATGATGAGTTTCATTTGGGGCAAATTGAATTTGAGTTTCCAGCAGCATAGCATCCGGGAATATTCAGCAGGCATTTGAAAACTGGCTTCTAATCCAAATGAGAGACTAGAGCTAGAGGTACAGATTGGCAACCTGTCTTCCCAAGGACAAGAACTGAAGCTCCAGCCATGATCCAGCATGCCTGTGGGGAGAGTGGGTGTCCATGTCACCAGTGACTACAGGACATCCCGGGGTGGAAGAAGTCGCAGCCCGGGAGAACGCACGCCCTGGGGAGTGTGAAGCGTCACAGCAAGAGGGTTGTCAGGAAGGACAGTGGAAATTGGGCTTGTGTTAGGTGGTTTGGGGGTGATGAAGAAAGTGGGGACTCTGAGGACAGGGTGCTGTTGGGAAGCTGGGCTCATTCCCGGACTAGGGGGGTCTTAATCTGTCTTA